GTCGTAGGTGATGTCTGTGCTCTTCTTCGCTCCTCGAATAGACCAGGATATCGTCGATGAATACGATGACGAATTTATCCAAGAAGGGTCGACACACTCGATTCATCAAATCCATGAACACCGCGGGCGCGTTAGTTAACCCGAATGGCATCACTACAAACTCATAGTGCCCATAGCGAGTTCTGAATGCCGTCTTGGGGATATCCTCTTCTTGAACTCGCAGTTGATGATAGCCCGACCTCAGGTCGATTTTTGAAAAGTAGCTGGCTCCTTGGAGCTGGTCGAAGAGGTCATCGATTCGGGGTAGGGGATAACGTTCTTGATAGTGAGTTTGTTTATTCTCGATAGTCTATGCACATACGAAAAGAACCATCCTTCTTCTTTACAAATAAGACTGGTGCTCCCCAAGGTGAGAAGCTTGGCCTGATGAACCCTTTGCTCAATAGTTCATTCAATTGGCTGGATAGTTCTTGCATTTCTGCCGGTGCTAAGCGATAGGGAGCCCTGGCGACGGGGGTAGCTCCTGGGATTAAGTCGATCCGAAATTCGACTTGCTTGCGAGTGGTACACCAGGCAGATCGTCTGGGAAAACATCAGGGAAGTTGCATACTTCTGGAATTTCTTTGATGTCCTTCACCTCCTGTTTCTTATCTACGATGTGGGCTAAGAAAACATGGTATTGCTTTCGGAGGTACTTTTGGGTTTTAACACAAGAGATGATTTGTAGGTTCGCACTAGGTTTATTGCCATAAACGGTGAGAACGTTGCCATTCGGCAGATTGAGGCGGACGGCCCTTTCGTAACATAGAATGTCGGCACGATGAAGGCTTAGCCAATCCATACCAATGATTATATCGAAGCTTTTTATGGTGACCGGCATAAGGTCGATTTTGAACAAATGGTTGTCTAGAGTGAGAGTACACCCTATGTAAATATCATTAGCGCGCTCAACTTTTCCATTTGCCATTTCTACGATGTAAGAATCTTCTAGTGGTTGAGAATTTTGCTTAAGTATATGTTTGAATTGGTGACTTATGAAACTTCTTTCTGCCCCACTATCGAAAAGTACGCATGCATAAGAGTTATTGAGGAGGAACGTACCAGTAACCACAGAGGGATCCTTGACTGCTTCTCCCTGCCCTAAGGTTAGGACCCTCCCTACACCCCCAGCATTAGGGGTTCGTGCCTTGGGGCAGTTCCTCCTGAAGTGTCCCGTTTCACCACACCCATAGCAGGCCTGGCTTGCTCCAGTGTTGGCGGTCGTAGCGACTTGTGTGGCGGGTTGGGTAGTCGTTCTACAGAATCGTGCAGTGTGCCCCTTTTTGTTACAGTTATTGCAGTGTGACTCACGACAAGCACCGTTATGGTGGTAGTTACACTTGTTGCACTTGGGAAGAGTTCCTGCATACTGTTTCGGTGGCGCTGGAGCGGCAGCAGTAGTGGCGGCGCGAACAGCAACAATCGGTTGCTTTTTGGCGGGGTCCTGAATTGGTTGTTTCCTTTTATTTCCCCAGAACTTCCTCTTGTTGTTCCCTCCTTTTGTTCGGTCGGTGGTGGTTATCACGGTACCACGGCTAGCCCTGTGATCTATGAGTTGTTGTGCCAATTCCTTGGCACTCTCAAAGGTAGTGGGTTTCGAGGCCAAGACACTATCTTGAATCTGGGATGATAGGCCCCAGAGATATCGTTCCACCTTTTTCTCTTCTGGAGTGACCATTGTTGGACAGAGGAGTGCTAGGTCGTTGAAACGGGCAGTATAAGTTTCAAGATCAGTGCCTGTCATCCTGAGGTTCCAAAGTTCTTCTTCAAGTTTTTGTATTTCGCCCCTCGGGCAGTATTCCTTCAACATTAGAGCTTTCAAATCCTCCCAGCTGATCGCGTTAGCTACTGCAGGAGTAAGTGACTTAACTCGGCCATTCCACCAAGTGAGTGCTTTTCCAGTGAAAGTGAATGCCGCATACTTGACCTTGCTCGCTCGGGACAAGCGCAGATTTCAAAAACTGCCTCGGTCCTTTCGAACCATTGCACCAGTGTGATGACGCCCCCGCTTCCATTGAAAGGATCGGGTTTGCCATTCGTGAAGTCTTTGTAAGTGCACTCCCTCGTACGCCCCGTGCTGTCCCCATGAATGGAATTGGTAGCTCCGGATCCAGAACCGCCGGAACCATGGGTTCCCATTTGCGACATTGCTGCCGCCACGGCTGCCGTCACTGCAGCCTGGAACATTGCAGGATCAAACTGCGGAGGTGGTGGTGGAGGCGGCACTGGGTTGTTGGAAGGCCTTGGTCTTTTCCTTGGTGGCATGGTTCTGTCATAAAAAAAATGACTAGTCGGTAAGACTTCAATAGTGATAACGAGTCGAGTGTTACTGGTTTCATCCCTCTTGTATTTTATCATAACTTTATTATTCGTAATTGTTTGTGTGATCAGGTTATGATGTATAGTGTCCAACATTCAATAAATAAAATACATGCCAAATTTCATTGATAACTTTTAGTACATAACGCTTAGAGAGAAAAGTTTGACCTCATAGGGTCTACATTACATCGTTACAAAAGGTAGTTTTTTTTTTTTTTTTGGCATTACAAAACCCCTTTGAATAGTGTAATCACATAATCGCAGGGTCGACCTACATACGAGGAGTAGCACCAACGCGTACTCATAAAATTCTACTACCTAGACGGGAGAATAGCAACGAGCTCTAATCACTGCGACCCTTCTTTGACGGAGGCTGCGATGATGTCGATGCGCCCTGTAGTTCCGCCAATTTGCGTTCGCTGCAACCATTCTCTCTTCGAGTGCCATGTATCTTTCCCGATACTCTCTTGTTTCTGCTTGAGCCGCGAGAAGGTCTCTAATGAGTTGGTCTCGGTGGTGGGAGTCTCGTTCCAGGTTTCTGGTGCGATCCGTAGCAGACTGTACAATGGCACTTAACTCCCGGACCTGATCTGTCGTTGTCCTACCACGATCATCCATTCTTGCCATTCGTTGTATCGTGACGGGGAGAGCCCTATCAGCCGGTCCACCATGAGTGAGATCATAGTAACCTCGTTGGTAGCCATATGGTGACCGTTGGCGTTGTTGTCGGCTCCATTTTTCGATCGTTGTTACCCAAGGGGGTTCAGGTCCATTGTAACCAAAACGGTGCGCGGGTACCCTCGCGATGTAGGGAGGGTTGAATACTTCTGGTGGTTCCTCCGCTTCGTTCCCAACCATGACTACCTCATCACCTTCCTCTTCTTCCTCTTCTTCCTCTTCTTCTTGGTTGTCTTCCTCTCCTTCCTCTTCTTCCTCTTCTTCTTGGTTGTCTTCCTCTCCTTCCTCGGGATCCTCCTCGGGATCCTCTTCGGGATCTTCCTCGGGTTCCTCTTCGGGATTCTCCTCGGGCTCGTCTTCAATCCATCCCGCGTTTCCCCGATTGGGAAAGTAGGGGTCCCCGGGTATGTGAAATCCGGCCATGTCGTCTGCACGAGAAACGGGGTTAAGAAGTATGTATCGGAAAATAATAATTTGGCGCTATAGAAACGTACAAATACTCCTATAGTATTTTTAAATGTTTATATTTGGTTCTTAGCGTGTTCTTTATGGAGTGTTATTAGGTTTTCAGATTTGTCGCTCATTACGACTATTCCTTAGTGTGCGTAAGTTACTTCTTGGACGGATATAGTTGATCAGGCTATATCCTTCCCAGAACTGATTACACATGCTAAGGCGTATTAATAATGTTCGACTCCTCCTCTTTCAATTTACGTTCTCCTAAGTTATGACACCATGCTAGTATAGAATGCATGCAAGTATACTTTGGAAACAAGAAATTATTTGTTTTCTAAAAGTACAACTCTTTAAATCACTTTAAGAATCAGAGACTTTTAGTCCCAAATGTGTTTATAGTTTGTATATCTTATGTGGTTGATATACTGAATTCACTATAAACCGTGCTCTGATACCAATCTGTCACACCCCCAAACCAAGGATGGCGGAAACGTCCGGGGGTGGAGGACTTCATGTATAGCATCATAACCACATTTCAATAGTAATTCAAGCAAACACAACCAACATATATATAATTGAAAAGTTACATCACTTTCATGAATTACATGTTTCAAAATCAATTACAATATGTTGTCAAATATGAAAAGTTTGACACCTCAACGTCCCATCCTCAAAAGCACTTGGTAACACGATTAATGCTTTCCTGTGAATCAAGTTGTTTGAAAAGTGTCAACACAAGGGTTGGTGAGTTCATAAGCTTTTATTAATAATCTTATTAGAAGTCTTTCACATGTAAATGTCGCGTTGTTTCAGAAAATCCGATATTTTCCTCGAAATCCGAAAAATGTAGCCTTACAACCAAAGACTAAAATGTATGAAGAGTCATCGTTCTTAGTAGGAAAGTTGTGAGTTTAAAATGAATTGGAAAGTAAATTTATTTTATCAACCTAAAACCTACTTTGGTTTTTATGCAACCCCGTAAACTTTAT